GTAACGGGATTTTTTTTTAGTTATGGTCAATACCGACATTCATATCGAGTAAATATTTGAATTATTCGCTATTTGCGATTGCATAACGCCGTCGGACACACAAGAACTAGTGAAATTGTTATTGATTTATTGAGTTCGTGTAGGACGCAAAACATGCTTAATACATTCCATTCGAACTTGCATTGGAAATGTCGCAGTTTTCTTTTGTTTGCATGTTTAAGGAGTTTAAAAATAAGTACCCAAGTGTTTTAGACGCACCGAATAAGTTTGTATCATTTTTAGCTAATAGTAACTCGTGACTTGCTAAACGTGTTTCGCAAGGAATCATTAATTATTTTGAGGAAAGATTCACTGATTTGGCACAAAACTGCCTGCAGAATGCCAGCGAGTTTTCTTTGAGAGTGGCTTGGCCCATCAATCACAATATTCGGGTCCTCTTTGGTTGCTTTAAATGAAAATCCACCGCTTTCCGTCTGTTTCCAATGTTTTCGGGGAAAACGTTTAGGTAAATAGTTATTGATCCAGTTCGGAAAACAACTGCATTTGCACGGCAGAAACTTTCTTTTTGATTGACTAATTACTGGAACAAAAGCATGTTGCAGCACCCACGAACACAATAAAACACTAAGCAGTGGCCATAAAAGAACCAACAAGGCCAATGGGACAAATCAGTACGATAAGTTCTCGTTTAGACCCAATCAACCATGCAGTGGTCGCATTGTTCACCTCAAACTCCGGGTAAATAAACTTTAAATTCACCTGTGGGCGATCGCTTTCATACTAATGATTCGCTATTACTATTTCGGGTCACACACGCCTCTCAATGCCAATGCTGTTGCTGGCATAATAATTAAGCCTTTTGATCTCTAATGGGTGGGTCTGCATATACGATATACTAATAAACGCGCGTTTCACTATGCAGGTTATCAATTTGTTTAAGACGAACAATCGCCGACAAAAGTCGACTTCGATCACCAAAAATTCAGTGAAATGCCCGGGAATTAGGGATTTTTTTGCATGTTTTTATATCCCGATTTCGGCCGGAAAAAATCGAAAATGTTTTTTTTTATTAAAAGTCTACTTTTTAGGCACTTTTGCATTTCCTGAGATAACTAAAAACTTTTCCAAGACGATGTTTTATATGAAGAAGAGTGCACCTCAATGCTCTCTCCAGTAGAAGAAACTAGAGGTCTGCTGCTCTAAAGGTTCTCTAAAAATGAGCAAAAATGTAAGCGCGGTTTTGGAAAAATCGACTATTTTTGCACTTTCGCATTTACTGGCATAACAAGAAACTTTTCCAAGACGATGTTTTATATGAAAAAGA